GGCTTCCTCTGCTCTCCAGCCCGGGTCGGGCATTTTGTCGAGCGGGGAGGCCGAAGGGAGCTTCTCCGAGCTTCAGCCGGGCCTGGCTCGCTGCAAGTGCAGGCCCAAGCTCGGCACTTGGCCGGACAAAATGGGTCCCAGCGAGAAATCCTGGGCTTCGGGCGTGGAATTGGCCGCCTAGGTTCCACGCAAGGCGCAGAAGGGCCGGGGTTTGCAGGCAGAAGAGTTTGGAACACACGAAATAGCAGCTGCAGAGCTGTTCAAGCCCGGATGAGCCAGCCTCCTGCTCTGATCTCCTTCCAATCTCCTGTACGTTCCCAAAGTAGGGATTTCCTCCCTCGAAACCCGGGAAGACAGAAGGAGGCGCGAGGGAAGACACCCCCCCACCCCCAAATCTCAGCAGCCTCTGGAGCAAAGAGCCAGATCCCACCTCGTCTGCAGTGGCCGGAGACCCTGAAATGGGGCCGAGGGCAGCGGCTGAGGCCCGACTCCCAAGAGCTTCCCGCACCACGCCCTTGGGGTTTTGGGGGAGGCATTGCTGGGAACCCCGCAGCAGGCTCACAACAAAAGATAGCGGGGCTGGCGTCCCCCACGTGCGCCCTGGTGCACCGCCGGCCGCGGAGATAATCCGGCGCGGCGCCCTCACCAGGATTCCGGGGAGCTCGGGGCTGGCGGAGGCGAACCAGATACGGTTTGACAGAACCAGGCCGCGCGCCCTGGAAACCACGCCGCTCCCCCCGGGCCGCGGCCGCCTGCTCCGCCCCACGCGCCAGGAGCTCGGGGCCGCGTGAAATCTCTGCGAACCGGACTCTGCGGAATCCAAGGCGAGGCTGCAGGACCGCCAGGCGCGCCTCCCGGAGCCCAGTCGGCCGGGGGTCTCCCTCCCGAGCCTCCCGGGCCTCCGCGGGCAAAGTTACCTCGCTTGGGTGAAGCCGGTGCATTCACCGCATCCCTGGTGCTCCTAGCAGGGAAGCCGGCGGCTAGGCGGGGGCGCCGGCATGCTGGCTCCGGCTTTCCGCGGGGGACTGCGTGCCGGGACCAGCGGCTACGCTGCCTACAGAGGGGCACGGACCGTCCGCCGGAGCCTCAGCGGCCAGGCCCACCTCCAACACACACCTCCTCCGCGCCGCGCCGCGCCGCGCTCTCCCTAAAGACTTCCGAGTTGTCAGGCGCCAGAAGGGCTCCGAATAACGCAAACCAGCAGCCTCCGGGGCACCCGCAATAGGATAAGCTCAGTGGCCTGCTCCTCCCTGGAACCCCCAGGGAGGGAAAGCTGGGAGACCAGAGGAAGCCGTGGGAATGGTCCAAGTCCTTTCTGAGAGCCGCTTTCAGGGTTAAAGTTCCGGAATCCGAGGTAAGATATTTCTCTCTCTCCCTCTCCCTCTGTCTCTAAGAAATGCAAGCCGACTCAGCTGAGCTCAGTGACGTTGGGCCGCCTCGATGCTTTACAAAGTCCTGGAATTGCCTCGCCAGCTAACTCCTGCTGCGCTCTGCCTGCCTCCCTCTCTCTCTCTCTCTCTCTCTCTCTCTCTC